GGAAGCCAGTGGGCTTGTGGAAGACTTGTGTGCCTGTTTTATCCTGGGAATATTGCATTTGTGTGATGTTTTGTATCCTGTTTCAGATGTTTGGAAATGGAGGCGTGGGGCCACTGTTGGGGACACGTTGGTATGTAATAAGTTGGTGCATAATAAATAGGCCAGAGAGAAACTCTCGGTGTTATGTGTTCAGACATACTCTAAACCTGTTGTGTTGGGCCAGCCAGAGTTCCTATCTTTTTGCTGTTGGTGCCCTCTCTTGCCTTGAACTTTCACGAGTATACCAGGAAGAAGTGTCTCTCCTCTTCCTTAAGGTTTTCAGTCTTTATTTAAGGTTTTGAACAATACCTCTGATACAGACAGACACTAACTGGGGAAGAATTTTTACTAGTCCAGTAGCAGCTGCATTTTCCAACCCTAAACTTATGTTTCTTTCTTTTTTTAAGATTTTATTTATTTATTCATGAGAGATACAGAGAGAGAGGCAGAGACATAGGCAGAGGGAGAAGCAGGCTCCCTGTGAGAGGTCAGATGTGAGACAAGATCCTGGGATGCTGGGCTCATGCCATGATCTGAAGGCAGATGCTCAACCACTGAGCCACCCAGGTGCCTCCCCCCCAAACTTATGTTTCTTCTTTGTATTATTGTTTCAAGGGTAAATTGAGAGCAAGCTTGCTCTAAGTTAATTCAGACACACTGTGCTTCTCTAAAATGAGGTGCTTCTCGAAGCTTCCATCTGAGCAGTGGTCCTGGTGCCTGCTGTAGGGCAAGTTGTCCTGTAGAGATAACATGTGTCCCTAAAACCAGCACTGGTCTCATTGGAGCCAATTACCAGGACTCTGTATGGCTCTGTGATCGGCAGAGGGGGCACTTGTGGTCCTAAGGTAAGGCATAAACTCAATTTCAGTTACTAATGAGATGAAAGGTCTCTGGCAACTTAGCCAGAATTTTAGCCATACGCATATTTGATCAGTTAAAATATACTCTGATGTGTCAACACAATTTTCTTTCTTCCTATTTTTTTTAAGGTACATGATAGAGGGAGAGAAATAATGGTCATGGGTTATAGAAAACCCTGAATGGAAAGGAGGCATAGGTTTTCTTCTGTCACCCAGAAGCATTTGACCACATGTAGGTTGGCCTCAGGCATTCTATCATCAGGCAGATTCATGCACATCAAAAATCTGGAAAGCAGTTGATGAGCAATTACTGAAATGAAGTCTAACACCAAATACAAACGTGCCAAATGGTGTACACTTATGGGGTTTCCTTTTCTTATGAGGCAAGACTGCCTTTTCAGATGGCAGTGCCCACAGTGGGCCAACTGATTGTTTTTCCTACAATTTCTCCATTAAAGTTAGTTTATCATTCTTGGTGTCCTCCTGTAGATGTGAACTCATAAAATGGAACGTGACCTATCATGGACAAATCCTTTCTTTCAAGTCTTATATTGTGGGACAAGATAGTAATAGTTAAAATGAGAAAAATGGTAATATATTTAGTGATACTAAAATTTACTTAGTTTATTATGTCCAGGCACTGTTCTAAGGTCTTCACATATATTAATAATCATATGAGTTACTATTACTCTCCCCATTTTATAAGTGAGGAAACTGAGACCCAGCAAAGTTTAAGAACTTTACCCACACTTTTATAGTCAAAAGGTTTCAAACATGGGATCCCAGTTTTTAAAAAAATATTTTATTTATTTATTTAGACAGCATGAGCAGGGGAAGGGAAGGGGCAGACGGAGAAAGGGAGAGAGAGAAAGAACCCATGCTGAACATGGAGCGTGATGTGAGGCTCCATCTCACAACCCTGGGATCATGACCTGAGTGAAACCAGGAGTCGGATGTTCAACTGACTGAGCCACCCAGGTGTCTCTTTTATCCCAGTTTTAGATTCTCTACTCTTAACCACTGGGCTGTGTTTCCAAAGATTAGATTTTGTTTGAGCCTTCTTGGGAGGTGGTAGCATCCTGGTCTCTGAGCAGACCCAGTCGATAGCATCCATTTTCCTGCTTGGATTCTGAACAACTTGGGAAATGAGAGAACAGAGCAAGGGTAATGTTTATTACCTGTTGGGGGGCCCATTCTTCTTGTAGGCAGCTGTTCTCAAGAGGAGGAAAGGGCATAGCTGAGCCTCTTTGATCTCGGATTTACCGATCAGCTAGGTTAAGCCATCTCCTGGGGATACGGGGGAGAAAGGGACACAAAGAGGCCCAAGAGAATCCTTTCTAATGGTGAAGGTCACCAGGGATGGTGAAAAGGGGAACCCTCCTCACTTCAGAGTTATGAGTTCATCAAATATGGATTCCAGTGAAAATCTCACAAATCTGTTGGAGTCGGTGTCGTGATGTTCAGTAATACTTTTGTGGTTTGGTGGAAAAATTGCATGATCCTATAATTATAGTTGGACTCCTAAGTTTGTATTAAATTGCTGCATATTTCACCTCTCCCTGATTTCTGGAACTGCAAGAGTCTCCCCCCAGATCCATGTGCTTTTGTTTCCTTTCTGTATCCTTGAAGTGCTTGGTCTTGTCCCTTCTGTTTTCAAAACCATTGCTTACCTGCTTTTTTTCTCACTAACAGTGCGACCAGCGCTTACGCTTTAGAAGGCATGATTGTCTTAATGAGTCTTTAATGATCTAAGTAGTAGCTCTGTTCATTTAGAAAAGCGCTCCAGATCTCAGAGCTGTATGGAGAGTCAGGAACAGTATCTAAGTAGATAGTTGTGAGACAGAACTTAGTAGCTCATTAGACTTGAACTTGTCCCCTACTGTATTAACCATTTAGGAGTGTTTAAAAGCCAAGTGCTGCTTTACAGTATAGACAAGAAGGGATTAGTGGTGAAATTTGCGTCTCTTAAGGGTGACAAGACCATGGAGGAGGCCAGGTGTTAATTTGTAGGGTTTGTAGGATGCCCTCTGGAATGGGGTGGGGGTGGGGGGACATGTATATCAGTTACTGTTCAATAGTAATTATGTGTAAATGGTAAAGACTTGTAGTGTCCAAAATTTACATAAAAGGTTTTCTAAGACACATTATACGCTCTCTTCCTTTTCATGGTTTTTGAATTCTACTTGATACATAGCTTGAATGAAAAGCCTGCAGTGACATGAAGCAAGTGGGAGGGGTGGAGAAGAGTGGTAGACCAATTGCATTTGACAGGGTGTCACAGACTGTGCCAGCCACTTAATTCAAGGAGGTGTAGTAACCATTCTACAGAAGCAGAATCTTGGGCTTTCAATAGTGCAGTTATATCCCCAAGGTCATGCTGGTAATCGGGGGTAAAGGTGTAAGCCAGTCTTGGGTGTGAGCTCTTGTGCTAGGACTTCTTCAAGGGTGTTAGTTTTGCTTATATCCTGGTACTTGTGCACACTGGACCTAGCACGCTTGCCTGGGGCTGGGGACTTGGCATTTTATACCAGTTAGTTCACTTCTTAAGATTCATATGCTGAGAGGTTTTCATTCTAGCTTGATGCTCAAAACACAGTGAAAATTTTTTTTAAGATTTTATTTATTTATTCATGAGAGATAGAGAGAGAGGCAAAGACACAGGCAGAGGGAGAAGCAGGCTCCACGCAGAGAGCCCTATGTGGGACTCAATCCCAGGTCTCCAGGATCACGCCCTGGGCTGAAGGCAGTGCTAAACCGCTGAGCCACCCGGGCTGCCCAGCACAGTGAAATTAAACGCAGAAGGCTTTGGTCTGAAATTCTCCATGCTCCTAATATAGACTGAAGTGGCCCAGTATACCTCATTGGGTTCTAGATGTAATGAACCTCCTGCCAGCTCTGCATCTGTTCCTGGCCAGGTGAAGACCCTGTGGGTTGTTGTAGAATAGTTATACTCCCAGCATCATCCCTGTTGGTTCATCTAGAAAAACACCAGCCTAAGAGGACATTCTTCCTTTTTATTTTTTTATTTTTTAATGGAACTCTGCCTTCTCCCTTGACAGTGCCATCTAGGTCTCTTCTTTATATCCTAAAATCTTGTTGATAATCTGAAAGGTGAATAAAATGTTGAACTAAAATTAATTCTGAAAAAGAACTATCTTTTATTTATACTGGAGGAAACACTGAATAAAAAAAACCCAGACTTACAATATGGCTAGCATCAACAGAGAGAGGGCAAATGTCAATCTAGTAATAGTTCTAATATTTTTAAAAATAAATATTTCTAATATTATTCCTAAGGCTATTCAATTTACTTAAAAGAGAATGTTGACTTAAATCTCTCTTTTACATGTTAGTTACAGCAGTTTCAGACTTGTTATCAAGTCATTTAATGCCAAATAGCTTTAGAAAAATGAAAAATAGCAGCCAACAATCACTTGAAATGAATAATAAAGTCTCTCAAAATTATGTTAATTTTTTCCCAAATGGAGGTGTTTTTAAGGGATTGTCCTTGACAGTAGAGACATAATTCAGTTTTTTAAAAAAAATGTTAATCTGTTAACTAACTGTAGATTTAGTTCAGTCCCTCGTAAGTGGCTTAATAGAAGTCACTTGTTTACTGGGATGGTTTTGTTTTTAAAATGGTACTCCTAAAACTATGACTAGTTGTAACTTGAAGTATACTTTTCCTTGTATACAATTTAAATCTGTGGTCATTTTAGGAAGAGTATGATTTTAGCATAATGAGTGAGGATCATGAGATTTGTTTATATAGCTGGTTGTTTTGTCTGTGAGCAGCTTTATATTAAAAAAATCAAAGGACTATATATATTTTTTGCCTTGTTTTTTTTTTTTTTTAAGATTTTATTTATTCATGAGAGGCACAGAGAGGCAGAGACACAGGCAGAGTGAGAAGCAGGCTCCTCATAGGGAGCCTGAATGTCAGACTTGATCCTAGGACCCTGGGATCATGACCTGAGCCAAAGGCAGATGCTCAACCACTGAGCTGCCCAGGTGTCCCACTGTTTATTTTTGAAGCCAGTTAAATGCCTTGCCGAACAGAGGTGTATAAAGTGAATTAGAGCTTTTTAACACTTCATCAGCATCGCCCTGAATCCAGACCAGTGGTTTGCTAGCTGTTGGTTTCAAACAGGAGCCTAGAGTAATGTGTTTCTGTGGTCTGTAAGCCTTTCAGCACCCCAGTGGGAATGGCTTTCAGTTGGAATGAACACAGTTTATGGGGGGGGGGGGGAAGAACTTTGTCAACAAACGTAGTTCGTGTTGATGAGATGTATGTGAATCTATGATGGAGAGCCCTGGTGTAGCCTTAGCAGCACACGTGGTTTTTTCAAATACATATCCTACCTTTCCTGTATTTTGTTTTACCCACATAAATTCCCCTCGAGGCTAAAACTTGGTTAATCTCTCCATGACATTGTACATGGTTATGAATATGGAAGATGCTCTTTCATATTCCCCAATGAAGGGAGATGTATGTGGCATTAGAAGATTGCACAGTCAGGTATTCTGGACCTGACTACCTTCTTAGGAGGCTTATGTCCACACTGCATTCATGGCCTAACTAGTTCATTGTGTATTGTCAAGCCTTTTCCACCTTTCTAAGCCCTCCCACCTAATCCTACTCTACTCTGTTTTTTAAAGGAGTCATCATGAAATCTTATTTTCTTTGCCATGGATCAGGGTGGTGATTCACAAATCACTTAGGATCTCTGGGCCTCATGTGGGTTTTTTTTTTTTTTTTTTGTGGTAAGGAGGCCTGTTTTGCCCACTAGATGCCAAATGAGATGAGGTCTTTTCACTACTGACCTAGTGTTCTATAGCTTGTTTCTAATTAATGTTTTTCTAATTTTAGATAGCACCTTCTGTATTCTACATGACGTCTTATCCATTTGGGCTGTGTTAACAAAATACCAGAGACTGGGTGGTTTATAAGCCACACAATTTATTTCTCACAGTTCTGGGAGCTGGACATCTGAAGTCAGAGTGCCACCATAGTTAGGTGAGGGCTGTATTCTGGGTCACAGACTTCTCTGTCCTCACATGGTAGAGGGGCTATGGAGCCTTGCAGGGGGTCTTTTTTATAAGGACACTAATCGCAGTCATAAAGACCTCATGTTCATGACCTAAGCACCTTCTGAAGTCCCCACCTTCCAACAGCATCACTTGGGTATTAGGATTCTCAATGTGAATTGGTGGGGCAGTGGGGAGGTGGCACACATTCAGACCATAGCAGATTAGAAAAGGTGAACAGAGGAGAGAAGGTTTTGGATGCTAGTGATAGGAAATTTTGCCTGAATGTACTTCAACACCGAAGGCATTTTTGTTTGCTGCATCATCCACAGGATGTTTCGGATACCGTATATAACTGATACTTTTATCAGCTTTGCATAGTAGGATAAGATATTGGGGGAGAAATCTGAGAAGCCTATGGGGAAAGAATGTGAAGACTGAAGAAACATAAGTTTGTAGGTAGGGAATATTTGCAAAGAGGAAATACCCTGATATAATTTCTATATTCCCCAAAAAATTATATATTAGTGTTTGGCAAGGATCTGCAATTCATTTCAATGCCCAAAAGGTTTTTAATTCTACTGTGAGACCACATGACTGAATTGGGACTTAGACTGTTTTTAGAGGTCCACAGAATGCTTTATCCATCTTGAAATTTCTCCTTGTGCAACCTTAAGCCCATCAGGTGAACAGAAGTCTTTGTTGTTTTGGAGAGAGAAATTGATGGCATAAAGGATCATTTTGGTGTTTAGGTAGCCTTTTCTTTTTCTCTTGGTCTTATTAGTGATTTGTTATTAGTGGGGATCCCTGGGTGGCTCAGCGGTTTAGTGCCTGCCTTTGGCCCAGGGCGTGATCCTGGAGTCCCGGGATTGAGTCCCACATGGGGCTCCCTGCATGGAGCCTGCTTCTCCCTCTGCCTGTGTCTCTGCCTCTCTCTCTCTGTGTCTCTCATGAATAAATAAATAAAATCTTAAAAAAAGCAATTTGTTATTAGTTATTGATGGACCCCTTTTTTGGTGGACTTTTTATACTGTTTCCATCTTGTGAATTTCTGTTTAATGTTCACAGTGTTTTTATGCATGTATCATGGCTAGAACACGCATCATTCAAGTGTAATGGTTATTAGTCTTGCCATTCCCAGCTTGGGTGGTCTTATAGTTGTTATTTTTGTTGTTGTTTATATATTCTGTGGAGCATTCCTTAGGAAGGATATTCCCTTTTTAAATGTAACTTGTTTAGAAGTTCTGAAAATCAAAGCTTCCATTTAGATACAGCTCTCCTAATCATCAAAAAATACCAACTATAGGAATGTATGTTGATAAGAACTTTATCTATCAATCAAAGAGAGTTGGATGTTCAACTCTGTCTGAGGTGAGGTATTAGTAATTCTCTGTATGTTCCATAGGTCTTTGCTTTAGTCCTCTAGCTAGAACCCTGGATCATATATCCTACTGGACAGTTCCATGTGGTTCTCCCACTTGTATAATTACCAGTAAAGTGTCAAAAGATGAGAAGTTTCTTGAAGTTTCTTTTAGAAGCTCTAGGTAAACTGCCTGAAATTTGTAGGAATGATAGCTTTCTGCTCCCACCTTCAAGATCCCCAGAGACTTTTCAGCTTCTGGGAGGAAGATGCTCCCATCTACTGAATTTTGCCCTCCTTTCTTTTAACAAGATCTCCCTCCTGCCTTCTGATGAAGCTGATCTTATAATATCCTAAATCTTTGCTTTATTTCAAGGCCTTAAATAACCCCAGCCCTATCAGCTACAAAAACAAATAATTTAAATTGGAAAAAAAAAACATTTTAAAAAATGTGCCCATTTTAAAAAAATCTGACGGGTTACACTTCAACTCTGTCTTTGCCTATTTTGTTATTTTGTGTGCAGAAAATTTGGCTTTCATTCTTTATTTGAATTACTTTATAGATCATTATATTTCCTCAGAGTGACAGAGTCGTGAATTTAGTCAATAAATGTTTATTAAGGACTCACAAGGTACTGGGCCCACTGATCAGTACTAGGCAGTCATACATGAAATACTAAGTAACTGACTTCAGGGAACTCACAGGGAATGCACTGAGTGTTCATTTTCCTTGGTTATTAAAGCCACTGGCATTTTGTTTCTAGAATATCCTGAAGTAACCTTAACCTGAGAGTAAAACCCTTTATTTTTCAGTAAGAATCAAGTCTCCTCCCTCCTGTGCCTCTTCTTCTACAGATACAGATTCTTATGTAATAAAGTCATGGAACCAGAGAAATTGGATGGAACCCTGAAAGTGAGCCTTTGAGCCTTCCTGTGTGTTACTCCCACCCTTCCTTCATCAACCCTTTGGCTATGTCTAGACAGAATTCACAATACTTCCCAGAAAGTAGTTTGGCTGTTAGTAAATTGTGGTGTTTAATTCCTTCATGAATTCCTTTCCACACAGATCCTATGAAATATTTGGAAGTTTACATCTGAAGTATCTTTTCAGTGGAAATTGGCTTGTCATCAAATTTCAGGTGTTAAAAAGTTTTTGCATCCTCTATATTGGAACAGTAGCAAACTTCTTAACTGAGGGGGTGAATTAAAATATGTAAATTGAAAGTTGTAAACATACTCATGATTGTAAATTAATTTTCTTTTTGCTGTGACTATTAAACAGCTGGTAGATTCATGGTTCAGATTCTAGGAAACAGAAGACCTTTCCAGATAGCCTAATCTTGCTTAGATGTATGGAAGTAGAAAATACTTTATTCAGTAATTTTTTTTCATTGTCACATTTAGTGGTACTTACTAATTTCTAGACATTGCAGTAAATGTAGGAGACTCATAGATGATGTGTGTGGCCCTCAGAAAACTCATAATTTTGGGATTTTTTTCTTTTATGGTTAAAAATCTAGTTAATTTTTATTTTATTATTTTTTATTTTTTACTTAAAAAATTTTATTTGTTTTGGAGAGAGAGAGCATGTGTGCACTCTTAGTTCATTTCCCAGAGTTAGAAGTCTTTATGTTCTGTGTCCCTTTCTGATATCTCCCACACATTTCTTCTCCCTTCCCTTATATTCCCCTTCACTATTATTCATATTCTCCAAATGAATGAGAACATACACTGTTTGTCCTTCTCCGATTGACTTACTTCACTCAGCATAATACCCTCCAGTTCCATCCACGTTGAAGCAAATGGTGGGTATTTGTCGTTTCTAATGGCTGAGGAATATTCCATTGTATACATAAACCACATCTTCTTTATCCATTCATCTTTCGATGGGCACCGAGGCTCCTTCCACAGTTTGGCTATTGTGGACATGGCTGCTAGAAACATCGGGGTGCAGGTGCCCGGCGTTTCATTGCATCTGAATCTTCGGGGTAAATCCCTAACAGTGCAATTGCTGGGTCATAGGTCAGGTCTATTTTTAATTCTTTGAGGAACCTCCACACAGTTTTCCAGAGTGGCTGCACCAGTTCACATTCCCACCAACAGTGTAAGAGTGTTCCCTTTTCTCCGCATCCTCTCCAACATTTGTTGTTTCCTGCCTTATTAATTTTCCCCATTCTCACTGGTGTGAGGTGGTATCTCATTGTGGTTTTGATTTGTATTTCCCTGATGGCAAGTGATGCAGAGCATTTTCTCATGTGCGTGTTGGCCATGTCTATGTCTTCCTCTGTGAGATTTCTGTTCATGTCTTTTGCCCATTTCATGATTGGATTGTTTGTTTCTTTGCTGTTGAGTTTAAGAAGTTCTTTATAGATCTTGGAAACTAGCCCTTTATCTGATATGTTATTTGCAAATATCTTCTCCCATTCTGTAGGTTGTCTTTGAGTTTTGTTGACTGTATCCTTTGCTGTGCAAAAGCTTCTTATCTTGATGAAGTCCCAATAGTTCATTTTTGCTTTTGTTTCTTTTGCTTTCGTGGATGTATCTTGCAAGAAGTTACTGTGGCCAAGTTCAAAAAGGGTGTTGCCTGTGTTCTCCTCTAGGATTTTGATGGAGTCTTGTCTCACATTTAAATCTTTCATCCATTTTGAGTTTATCTTTGTATATGGTGCAAGAGAGGGGTCTAGTTTCATTCTTCTGCATGTGGATGACCAATTTTCCCAGCACCATTTATTGAAGAGACTGTCTTTCTTCCAGTGGATCGTCTTTCCTCCTTTGTCGAATATTAGTTGACCATAAAGTTCAGGGTCCATTTGTGGGTTCTCTATTCTGTTCCATTGGTCTAT